ATCTGCTACTCATAGGTTTGTTTTCTAGATGGTTTGAGCTGATGTCTCAATTATGTATGGGTTTAAATTACAGAAGCTGCATTGAGCTCCAGCTCTCCTTCCTTGGATGAACTAATACATGCCAGGCTCCTAGAAAGAAAAGCAAAGTTGTTTAATCTGATATGATCGGTTATCAAAGATTGTTCGATATTAATTATTGTCACAGCCTGTATTTTAAAATACAGGCTACAGAAATTTAAAATGTAGTTATAGTCAGATGGTGAGCATCTGTGAGCACCAGATTTACAATTAGATTTAAGTTTCCACATTGTATGGGGAATTCAAAGGAATAAATATGCCTTAATCTGAACTATTTAATTCTAGAAGGTCTATCTATTTATATCTATTTTCCATCACCCTTATCCCTGCTGGGGTCGCGAGGGTTGCTGGTGCCTATCTCCAGCTGTCAGTGGGCAAGCGGTGGGGTACACCCTGGATAGGTCGCCAGTCTATCACAGGGCAATACAGAGACAAACAGTATAAACATCTGTTCGTGCATCCATTCTCACCTAAGGAGAATTTACAGAAGCCAATTAACCTAACAGTTATGCTTTTGGACTGTGGGAGGAAACCGGAGTACCTGGAGAGAACCCACACATGCACAGGGAGAACATGCAAACTCCATGCAGAAAGACCTGCAGGAAATCGAACCCAGAAACTTCTTTCATGATTTCTAACAGATTTTTTTTAAGGGTTCCTCTTTCTTTTGCTCCATCCATCCTGCAATAGAAAAATAATATGCTCAGTGTGATCCTGCCAAAAGCATTATCTAGTAGAGTGTGTTTAGATTAATACAAAGTATTAACATTCTAACAATGGATCTCATCTTGCCAACTTCCCCGAATACTAGATTTGTTATGCACATGGCGAATATTTATTTGGATGATAAATTAAATGGTGATCCATGGTAAGTTTAAAGCTTTGGATGTAGATTTGAATCTAAGCCTTCTCTAAGCCCCTTTAACTTGTGTGGTCCTTGGTTTTATGAAGCAGTTGGTTTGCTAATTTTCTATTCAAAATAAAATAAATTCTTTGGAGCTTTCACAGCACAGCTATTATATTGTGATGCTTTATACGTATTTGGTGGATTTATTTTATTGCCATCAAAAATGGGATTAAATAAAAACACATGCCACATACCATATGAATACAACACGCCTAATTTTTGTTTACCTTTGGCTATTTACTCATTTGTGTTGATCTATCACAGTAAATCAAAATGAATACATCAATGTTTCAGATGTATTGCAAGAAAATATGAACAAGTTAAACAGATGTTGACATTATAGAAATACCTTGATTTTTGGTTGTAGGCTGTATTCCAAAGGATGTGTGTGTTCTACGTATGTGTAGAAAAGTTTTCGGACAATAGACAATCATTGACATCATTTTGCCGTCCAAACATATGTGACATTGATTATGAAAACCTGTAGTTAAAGTCTTGAGCTAAGCAGAAGAAGAGACTACTTATTGTTTGATTGTTTATTTAGGTCTAGCTTTCTGAGGTTTTGCTGGTTTACCTTTCTGAATATTGACTTATTTATAGCATGCCACTTTTGAATAGTATGTAGGTTTAGAAAATAAAAAAAATCTTTATATAGTTATTGTATATATACATTTTCCAAGCGAGTCATTACCACTGCTGCTAGACCTGTATGAGTGAGTTTGCTCTTTTCAAAAGAACAGTTGGAAGCCCTGGCAATTTAGAATCAGCAGAGCTAAAATCATGTGTGGACCGCAATGAGGTGCCACCCTTGCTGAGAACAGTATATAGGAGACACACAAACTACTCATACCGGTTTCTCAATTTCATGAGAGTGGCAGATGAGGTTACTCGCATTAGAAGAGAGGAGTATTCACTCTGACAGAAGTTTGCAAATCTCACATATTTAAGTGTCTTGCACTCAGTGTGTCATTAATAATAAAGTGTAAAGCTGGGAGTTCAATGTTGGAGCCGGGACAGCCCAGTGAATCATTTAATGGCAGGTCTGAAAAAGTGGCATTACTAATTGAAGGACATAGAGTCCATTGGATTGCAAGGTAGTAGAGCAATTGAAAAATGTGTAACTGTAATGCCATAATCAGCTCAATTGTTGCGCTGTTTTGTCAATACAATCACATATTTATTATTAGATTAACTTTTTTTTTGTTTTGCTGTATAAAGGAAGCTGATTAAACTTTTGCTTACTAAAAATATACACAATTTAGGCCAAGATTTTGTCATTACTTAAATATTCGGCTTAGCAGCATCTTAGCTTTTACTTTCCTATTCAAAGGTTTCCACTCGAGGTGGCTTCAACAAACTTATTCCCCCACCTGCCTCTCTGTGGATCAAGTTTTTGATGAGTTTGCCCTCATGGGGAGCTGTGCAATCAAATGCATCACTGCATTAAGCCAGCGTAAAATGTCCCTATAAAAGAGAGGAGGGAAGCGGGCAGAGGAAAATAGAGAGGCAGGGGACGTGCGTGTGGATTGATCACCCTGCTGCACTTAGAGAGGCAATAGTTACCAGCCATGAAATAGTTGCTGTCCCCCATTGATCCTACAATTTCCTTTGGTTTGACACATCAGGGATCACTGCAGACATACAGTACATACAATAAATAATGCATTGAATTTGTCAAGAATATTAAGCTAGCATTTTGGTGTGCATTTTCTAGTGATAAGCTGGTTTCATTACCCTAGGTGGCAGTTACTTGAACTTAATGTGTCGATACATTTGTTTTCCAGCCTGAAGACTCACAGCTCTGCCGATTTTAATTGTTAGAGAGTGAACTTTAATCTCAGCGAGAAATGTTATTGTCTTGGGGCTCCAGGTGAACGCAATTAAGTGCAATTAACTATTGCCTGATGGGTGTCTCTGGATCTTACAGTGTATATTAGCCACGGCTTTACATTCAGTCACCCCCAGATTGAATAGGAATCGATTTTATGTTGAGAAAGGGTCACTTTCTACCCTGTAGTTAAAAAAAAAATTTCAGAAATATATCCTAATAATTTCAGTGTCCCCTTTCATTAGTGCCTCCATTTTTTGCTATGGAGTGGAAGCGACATGAAGCAACATCTTTCAGTTAAAAAACGCAGACAAAATGTAGAAGGACTAAATTTGCACTCTGCTTAAAATCAATCCGTATTCAGATTTTCCTCTGAACAGCATATGAAAATGATTGTTGTCGAACTGACGTATTCAGCAGTAGCAAATAGATATTAGACAACAGGATGTGCTATATAGTGTATATTAGGGATGTTTCCGCTTTTAATTCTACTGAGATGGAGATATAACATGCTTTATAACATGAGCATAACTAGTTTTCAAAGGGTGGGCATTTCATTGCTTTTTTAAACAATATGATAAATATAGGAAATAGGCCTAGATATCCGAAATTAAATGAGACTTAAATGAGTCAGTTATTGTTTTACGTTATACACATCCATGGGTTTCCACAACAAGCACTGCTATCAAATTGTTTTACAAATCATTTATCCTACCTTTGCCATTTTCTATTATAGGGGGGTTCAATTATAAATAAGATAAACGTATAACCTTAAAACAAGGTTGCTATGATTCTTCTTTTTCATTACAGCAACCTGAACAAATATTACTATGAGCTGTATTATATTTAGTTAATTGCTTGACTGAATGGATATATACTTGAATCACTGTACTTTTTCTTGTTTTCTTCGAACGAACAAAAGCTTTGGGTAACGGATAAAGCACTAGCGCAAAGGATAAAAGTCCTATAAATGTCCCTTAGGTAAAAGATCCCTTTGTGTAATCATCCCCTGGTGTGGATTCTGAATAGAATACGTTATCTTGCATTATGATCCAATCCTAGGCTTTAAATTACTTTTATTTTAATGCCTGTTAAGCAAATGCAATTGATCATCTAATAATTTTGTGCATAAGACAGAAGTGAGATTTAATGGATTGACAGAGAGGTAGAATCAGCAGTAGAGTTTGGTGTATCTTCATACCACCCTTCAGACCCACAATCATGCACTTGTTCTAAATAATCACCAGACCTCACAAATGTGTTAGGTTCACTCCAGTGGCAACATTTGTTTTTCCTTCTATTCCCTGTTGTAAAACAAAAAGGCTCTCTTTTTGACCACCACTGTTCTAATCTTCTCTGGTAAGGTCAATTTAATGAACTTTTCAAATCTCATTCATTTTAAATTACTTATTATTTGGGGCACTCAAAAGCTCAGTTGCTCCACATAAGAGGTTCCGGCTTTTATCCTCTCGCGTTTTGCTAATATGTTTTGTTCCTAAAGCTGTCTGTATCTTTAGGCTCATCAGCTCATAGTTATTCATGTCACCATATTGTGAAATTACAAGAACACCAAATCCCCAAGTGATTCAGCAGCACAGTTTTCATTAAAAATAGGCTCACAGGAATGAACAAGGACCACACAAGAAAAGAGGAGATAGTAAGGCAGTGGAATAGTCATTCTATCAGCAGGAGCACTCATAAATATTGTAATTGTGTGGTTATAGAAAAGGGAGCGGTTGCGAGCACTGTGATTGACTTTGAGTGAATGCCATGTCACCTTTTGAATGAATTGAACATGAATGCTGTTGTCAGAAAGAGGAAGAGAAGAATGGCTTTCATGACTGCAGCATTGAAGACATCAGATTTCCGGTGGCTGTTTAGGAAGAGGCACACTGCCTTTTCTTTTCTTTTCAGTGTAAAACCCATTGGACCATTATTTGCAGATACCTGCTGACTATTTCAGTTTAATCCCCAGTTTTATCAATATGATTCCTGGGAAACCCATGAGATAGCAGTTCGTAATGGAAAGTAGTAATACAGCATGCCTTCAGCAGAATATTCAGACCATGGGGTCCAGTTGTGTCTCTGTAATGTGCCTTAAATATTTTGTTAGAGCTCTTCCAGTGTGGGCATAAGGAACCCTCTGGCATAAAGAAACAGTTACCCAATCTGCCATTTTCTCTGCAGGGGAGAAGTCATGCCAGGCTGAAATGTTATTGTTCCATTCCAGACTCAAGCCTTGGAAAATGCTTAACACAAAACAGGAGGTAAGCAAATTTACTAACAGTGACAACAACAGAGAACAATCAGTTCCATATATATTTTTTTCTTTCTAAGAGTTTGATATCTTTATAATTGCCTCCAGAAGTTAAGAAGTTAATTGGTTGTCTTCAGTGCAGAATAATACAAATGTGGAGTTGAGAGCATTTTTTGCTGATCTATTTTTGATCAAGCAGACAAAACAAGTTCTCACCATGAATGTAAAACTTACTGTAACTCTGTATTCTATCACAAAGAAAACAGATGGAGTTGATCACTTTTTGATTGATGCTCTATTTGTTGTTGATTCTTGTTTTAATTAGTAAAAAAATTCTAAAAGAAAATGTTATCAATGTTCTGAAGCTCTATTAAATGAACCCGATTTATTCTGATACAACACATGCAGACATATTTTGAAATGTCTGGAAATTCCTTTTAGCAGCTTTGAAGTATCCCTTAAAAGAGCCCCTGCATTACAAACCACGTCATAAGAAACATGTAATTATAATGCATTGCCTGTTCTGTTCAAATATTGCATTTAAATTATTATAGACTAAAAAACACATCCCATTTTCAACATGTTTTGGCTTAGAATGAAAATGTAGCCTTTTAAATTATTTGCAGACATTACATAGCAAATAGTAAGAATAAAGCTATTCAGACAAGGAAATATAACATTTATTGGTTTCATTATAACACATAAATACGGTTGCAAACATGTTCAACAAAAAAATAATAAGCTTATTTATTCAATATGATTTGTTTCATTTGGTAGTGACATTATAATGGACGGTAATGAGATGACAAGGCTGGATGATGAGATGAATGCTGAAGCTAGTCAGTGGAAAATGCTTTCTAATTTTCAATTGACACTGAGCCTGAAATCTGGGTCCCCTTTCAGAAAGATGGGCTGAGTAGAAAGCCGATATTCTGAGTCGTTCTAACCTGCTCTGTCCTACTAAGGGTTTAAGATTCCAGAACAGCTGATATCAATTGGGTAACGAAACTTGGCATCTAATTAACATGAGCATATAAGAATGCAGATTATATGAATCACCATGATAACGGCAGGACAGACGCCTTTAAGAGGGCAACAACCATCAAAATAGATGTGCTGATATCAGCATATGCAGACTATTCACTGATTATTAATACAATCCATGCTTATCACTTAAACATCTGTAGCAAAATTAAGAAGGAAATTGCCTAGATTATAATCACTAAATCCTATCTACCACACCTTTTTTGAAGTAGTAGCAAATATACCTAATAATAATTAGCTTAAGATTCTTGGCTGTACATCTAAATGTGAGCATGTGCCAGGAAGTAACCACTGTGCTGTAACAACAATGTTCCACATAAGTTTGAATCCTTCAACCTAACAGTGTGTAAACCATCATTAGTTTCTTTTTTTACTGTATGAAAAGGTCAGCCATTGGCACATAATTTTCGACTGCAATTTTTTATTTTGAGTCACAGTAATTTTGCAGTGAGTGAATTACTGTTGAAGAGTCAAAAAAAGCAGGCTGAGTGCTAGTGTATTATGTGGCGACGTTACCTTGCATCAAGAAAGTCCTGGCTTGAATCTCAGACTAGGGCCTTATGTTCAGAAATGTTAAGTAGACTTCATCTATTTCCTCTTGATGTTTTATAGCAATCACAATTAGATACACTTAAAAATATTTGAGTAAATTTACTCAAACACACTTAGTGAAAATTGTTACCTTCGCTTTTCTGCTGCAAAAGAGCAGGGTCAATGAATGCATAAGTAATATTTGACCAAAAACATGTATTGTCCACATTTCATTGCTCAACGTTGAAAAGAAAAAAATATTTTTTGTATGCATTGAATATGAGTTAAGTTGCAACACAAAAGAAAGAAAAAGACATTGCAGCAAGTCAGGATTAAATATAAGAACACAGATAAATCATGTAAGGTCCAGTTCTAAGTTTTTATGTAGAATCTTAACACTGTTAATGATGTTACTCTCCCCCTCCCAAGAAAATGTGTAGCAGGCCATTTTCACATGGAAATGCTTAATTTATGTATTTAATATGTATTTAATTTAAAGCCTACTTAAAAAATATTAACAAATGATGTCGGTATTAAAGCAAGTTAACAAACAGTTACTCTTTTGGAATTAAACATCTAATTTTGGACTGCCGTTTAATATGGAGCTTATCTATAAATGTTAAGACCTAAAACCTTACAATATTTTCATACCATTGACTGGCATTTGCCTGGTCTTTCTCAACCCAGGCAACTAAATAAAACATCTGGGACAAAAATGTAAATCATATTGTCTTGGCTTTATCATGTAAGACAATCTAAAAATGAATTTAAAGCATTTTCTTTTCAGAATAATACAGAAAAGGAAATATGAAAGGTGTGCTCTAACCTTTTTGGTTTGCATAGCGTACAAAATAAATCTCCAATAAGAGCAATAACTCCTATGAATCCTGTTTTTTAGGTTTAGTTGGAATCCTAAAATAATTTTTAGCTAAAAAAAATCTCACAATGTGAGACAGTCCTAGATTGCAAATGGTAAAATTAGTTCCATGGTGTGCAAAAAATAATACGGGGAGGTGAAATATGTCTAATCCTCATTGTGGTGGGTCGTAAAAAGTCTTTCTTGCATTTGACTGCAAATTGCTTAAGAAACCTCTCATACAAAATTGATCATCTGGCTGGTTGAATCTCATAAATCATGCTCTTTGATGTATTTTAATGCGTCTTTAAATATCTCTATTAAAATATACTTTGATATCATGACGAAAACTGATTTAGAGCTAAGATTTCTATCAAGTTACTTCATCTGATGGGCCAGCAATTTATGCTGTTATTTTCTTGCATTGAAATAACGTCATAAAGCATTTTGATGGATTTTGAGAGTTTCTCTGCAATCATTTGGTGTAGAGCTAAAACATATGTTGCATGAATATGTTGGGACCAGTCCTGGTTCATATGAAATATCTTTTTATTGTGATGCATTATTATAATTATTATTTTAAATGCTTTGCTGGAGTCTCTGAGCTCTTGCAATTGTGTGATTGTTAATGCCTCAAATTTCGTTTCTAATTTCTGTAATATCAACTGGTCCCATAAAAAAGCAGGCCGAAATCTTCTGATGCATGCATATTAGCAACATCACAAGTATTTGAAGCATCACAGTCACAATCCATATGAGATAGATAAAGTGTATGACTTTGGTTAAAAATGAAGTCAGTTTGAAGTCTGTGAAATGAGTTTTTCTGATGTTTACATGCGCTCTCTGGGATCTGCAGCTGCATTATTCAGATGTAGTTTAATATTCATCACTGTAGGCTTGAAGCAGGCTTCATGTCTGTGGTTAGTGTCTGCACCTTGCGCACTGCATGACAATTAGTGCCTTACATAACCACAAGCTAGTCACACACCCACCACACACACACACACACACACCTACTCACAAGCATTTAATGGACATGCATTTCGACACATAAACATCTTGGATAAAAATTTCAAAAATACACTATTCAAACCAGAACGAAATGTAAATTACAAACGCAATTGATTACTCTTTTTACCTTGTGAGAGTGTTTTAGTAAAAAGGACCTCATACTTAAACTTGTTTTAGGATAAGGATTTTATTCCCTTAATCTTGCATGTAGTACTCTGGGCAGATTTAGGAAGGACCACTAGCAATCCACTGATACAAAATGAGATGTATACATTTATTGATATATCTTTAATCACCTTCCCTTTAACTGCCCTAGAGTGCTGTGTATTCTTTCTAATGGCAATAATGCTTTAGATTTAAATCTCAAATTTCTGAGCTTGAATAGTGTCGAGTGTTACACATACTAATAAAACTTGAGAGCTTTAAGATCTTGGTATGGGCATCACTCCCCCTTTCCCCCAGCCTGCCATCAGCATGTGCGTTGATGGTAGGCTGGGGCTGGAGCCCGTAATGGTTAACTTTAGTGTAAGGGTCATGGTTAGGCTGTAGTAATAAATGGAAGTCGATGGAAAGGCCCTGCAGAGATAGAGAGATTTATTATCCATGTGTATGTGTTTGTAGCCATATACAGAATTTGTTACCTTGTGGGGACAATTTCCCATTAATATATTATGGGGACTTAAATATACTAGTGAGGACCAAAAACTGGTGTGAATGAGAAGTTCTAATCTTGGATTGGGCAGAATGGTGGGTTTTGGACTAAGGTGTGATTTGAGTTTAGGGTTGGGTAGGTAGAGTATTGGTGAGGGATAGGGTAAAGGCCTGGATTAGGTCATACCAGTGAATGGAAATTGAGTGGAAGTCATTTGAAAGTCCCTGTAAGAATAGCAGGATAAAGTGTGTATGTAGGTGGATGGGTTGGGGTGTGTGTGTATTTTCTGTAACAATTTACTTATCTTCCCACTGAGCCTTGGCTTGCGTCCTGTCTCAATCAGTGTACCTTGATGAAGATAAAGAATCTGAGCTTGATGATCTGAGACAGAAGAGGAGTGGGTTACTGATGGGAAAAGAGGAAGGTAGAGGTAATGAATAGAGGGAAAATGAAGGCAAGGGCAAGTGAAATTAGTTAGACAAGCTGCATGATGAAAAAAACAGCAGCAAGGGAATCTATTCTATTTACTTGATGTGAGTCATCCTTATTAGTTGGATTTGCAACTATGTTGACAAAGAAAAGCTTTATAACTAGGGGTAGGTTCAATAGAGCTGGAGTCAAATGTTCTTTATGTAAAAACTTTAAAAACAAGGATTAAACAATCCTCCTATGAATTAGCATGAAAATCTGCTTAGATTTTTAGACCGTATCATGAGACGACCATATCTTTTGTATCAACGAGATGCAGTGAAAAGCTCCATTGCTATTTTGGTTCACCAATAAGTTTTCTGAAAATTGGATCCAGGCCAAAGAATTGAATGTGATGAGTGTCGCAGCTGAAGCAATTCGCTGGCCCTGAATGAACGTATTTATGGGATAGTGAAAGATCAAATCCAATTGCCTCTTTTCTTACTTT